TCTGAGGCTACTCTTTATGTCAAACATCAATTTAATGATGTTTTGATAGTTTCTCTTTATGTTGATGATCTTTTATTGACAGGAAATAATGTAAACCTGGTTGAAAACTTCAAGCAAGAGATGATGAAAGTGTTTGAGATGACAGATCTTGGGTTGATGACTTTTTTCCTTGGAATGGAAATCAAACAAGCTGAGCATGAGGTCTTTATTTGCCAAAAGAAATATGCCAAGGAGATTTTGAAAAAGTTCAAGCTTGAAGAATGCAGGGAAACAAGCACTCCTATGAATCAAAAGGAGAAGCTATGTAAGGAAGATGGAGATGATAAAGTTGATGAAAGACACTTTAGAAGTTTGATTGGTTGCTTGTTGTATCTTACAGCAACACATCCTGACATTTTAAACGCTCTAAGTATTTTATCCAGATTTATGCATTGTGCAAGTGAATTGCATCTCAGGGCAGCCAAAAGAGTAATTCGATATGTCAAGGGTACAAGTGGTTTTAGTATTAAATTTACAAGAAGTAAGGATTTCAAGTTGATCGATTTCTCTGATAGTGACTGGGGAGGTTCCATTGATGATATGAAGAGTACTTCTGGCTATTGTTTTACTCTTGGATCAAGTATTTTCTCATGGAATTTGAAGAAGCAAGAAACTGTAGCTCAATCTACTGCTGAAGCAGAATTTGTTGCCGCAACAACTGCTGTAAATCAAGCATTACGGTTGAGAAAGATTTTAATTGATCTTAATATGGAGCATAATGAAAGTACTGAGATTTTTGTTGACAATCAAGTTGTTATTGTCATTTCTCATAATCCTGTGTTTGATGGAAAAACTAAGCATTTCAATATCAAGTTGTTTTTTCTAAGAGAAGTTCAGAAAGAAAAATATGTGACTCTGACATATTGTAAATCTGAAGATCAGTTGGCAGATTTGTTCACAAAGCCGCTTCCAATTAGTATGTTTGAATTTCTAAGGCAAAAAATTGGTGTTTGTAGCTCCTAAGGCAAGGAGGAGTGTTGGAATATTTGCTTAGGACTGCCTAAAATTAAGGAATTAGTTTTATTTTCTTTAAATCTTGTTTTAAAGCTTTGATTTCTTTTAGCTATTTTTATGGACGTTGATTAGGGAGCATTAATTACTTTCCTTTTTCTCTGCTTTGTATTGGGCAGCAATTTAAAATATATGTGCTGCCGTTTTTTTTAAAATTAAGAACAATCAAGCTTCTTCATATTTCTTTCTCCTCTTTCTCTTGTTCAAGAAACCTTCACTTTCCTATGAAGTGGCCATACTACTACTGTACTCGAGAATGATTTCAAGAAGAGAGGGATCATGATCTCTACCTTTACTCTTCCTCATAGATCTTCCATATCTATAAGTTTCCACACTCTCAACACTTTAACAACTCCCCTCACTCAACAGTAAAGTCCACATAGCAGAGAGGAAATGTACAATCACTCTTTTTGGGAAGAAAATCATTTATGGTGAAGGGATGGCAAATTTTTGCTGCCCAAAGTAATTTTGTCCACTTTTTAACATAAGGGAAAATTTAAAAAGGCATACTTAACGGCACTTTTGGCAGTAACTCCTTTGTATGGTACAATAATAGGACAATCCACCCGTCTATTTTAGGATTTTTTATTGCGTACAGACACCAGACGTAAATTTGTGTCTGGTGTCCGATCAGAACAGTCCAAAAAATTTGAGTGAGTCCCACTCTAAAAATAAACAAAAAAAAAAAAAACAAAAGATGTATTACAATGGCCTTGATTGGAGATGCAAATTTGGGTTCGGTGTCCGTATGCAATAAAAGCTCCTATTTTAGGCATTTGTCCCCATTTGGCAGCTAAAAATTATTTAACGTTCTAGAATTAAACAATAGCGCCATGACCCCATATTTTACCATATTCAAGCCTGCTTAATAGTGAAGGTGCTGACGCAGTGCTAACAATGACTTTATAATAACCCAGTAACCATGAACATGGCACCACGACGATGGTTATTACTTCACAATGCTAAAACTCTAAAACAAAAATGCCTTCAACATAGAGAGCTATGTGTCATGACACTAACCATGTGCCACAATTCTAGAATCCTGATAAAAAATGCTAAAGACAAATCAGAGAAATAAGCTTAAAAGCGAACTAAGTGAGACTTTTCTATCACACAAGAAGCTCGATGCACTCCTCCACTTCAACCAACCAACTTAAATTCTACTAATAACATCCCCATCTATATCACCATCACTTTGAATAATTGACCGGAGATATCTAAACCTTTCACACCTTAGGATGATTTGATTGCCCATAGTTACAACTCTGCCGATTTTATGAAAGTTTCTTGTTACTACATTTTGATGATACAATTCGAATATAAAAAGCCTCAGCAAAAGACCATAAGACAATTAATTGATCTCTGAATCAGATTGGGCATCTCATGGGGAACGGAAGCATTTTTTTTTTTTGCAGAATATCACCTTTCACTACAAATACTGAAATGTTCAGTATCATGTTGCCAGCATGCATTGAACTGCGGGATTTGTTGTTCTATTGAATATGATGCTTCAATAACCCTTGTACCCAGCAAACATACGTGGAATTTGGGACCTTATGAATTTGTTTTATAAAATTTGCTTTATACAATATGCCATAGGAATACCGTGGATGGTACTAAGTACACCATTTGTTAGTTTTTTCAGCGAGGATCTGTAAATCTCTTGTTGAGGAGCTTAGAGACAGTTAGATCTGCTCCGCCGAATCCATCCATCACAGCTTTTGCTTTGTCGAACTCGGCACGGGCAGTGGAACTGCATGCATATGGAATAGAAAAGTAAAGCAAAGAAGCAGGATATAAAGAATTAATCAACTTGGAAATTTTCTGAAACAATTTTACAGAGACTAACAAAGCATAAAGCAGTCTGACACATCATATATTAAAAGCATGTTTGGGATGATTTTTATTTTTGCTTTTTTTTTTTTAATTTTAAAAAATTGGTTAATTTAGTGATTTTTCTAATTGTTTATTATTTCTATATTTCATTTTATAAATAAATACAGTTTTTTTTTTCTAAAAAAAAAACTGAGATATGTTGAATGTTTAAAGAACTGTAGACCGTAATGATCGATGTCGCCAATGTTGGCAAACATCACCATCTAAGACACCGTAGGCACCAGCTGTTCCCATTCGCCAACAATCACTTCCATCATCACATAAATAAACTTAATTGATTTTCAATAAAAGAAATGTATTTTAAAGATATTGAATCTCTCATTTATTTCAGTCAAAACATAAATAAAAAAAATACAAATAATAAGTAAAAAATGATCTCAAATAATCTCTAAGATTTATAGAATTTTATATTAGAGCCGTTCAAGTATTTAAAGGACTTTATGAGCTTGAATTATTAGCATCAATTGTTGAATATAAAATGCATCACTCCACTCGTGGCTAAAGTCAAAAAGCTAAGCAATAACAATGAAAGGAACTGTAGATTGCATTGATAGAAAAAGTCCACGAGATAAATAAATGTTGTCAATGTGGTGCTCGCTGCAATTGAATTTCATAAGAGGCGTCCCGAATGTTGGGAAAAAAGAAAAGAAAAGAAAAGGCAAGCATTATGTAAAAGGTTCCCTCGACCATCTTATTTTTTCTTCTTTTTTGGGAGAATCCTTGAGCTCCATGTTCAAAAGTTATAAGGCCACAAGGAGAGATGTAAATACAAGAGCAAACAATGGAGGCTTGATAAGATTTTAATAAGTGAGGAGAAACATTATTGTAATAGGTAGTTTGAGTTATATTAGGCTTAAATAGATTGCTAAATGAGTGTTTTAAATCTTTAAATACCTTTCATTGGGACTATTAGGCTATCAATAAAAAATAAACCGATCCCCATGCCTTGAGATACTCCTTTTCCCGCTCCTGAACCTCACACTTTCTAGAGTTACCGGCAAACTAGATGGTCATTTATCACAATTCAAGCAACAGGGCAGCCAAAAGGGTCTTCTTGATTTTGGTCTGAGTTCAGAGTTGAATCAACATGTATCTAGTATTTTAGTTTCGAACTATACTTATCATGGCCACTTTCAAATAAATATCTTGTGAATATCCTTATAACTGGATTAAATTAAATAGTACTTAGCAACGCTGTTTGCAACTTACAGAAATATATAATTATGTATGTTATGTTAGCCAATTTACGCTAATTAGTCTTTAAATTAGCATTGAAATAGTTTACCTGCTTCGAATAACAACACTAGATAAGCCTATCCTCTCAGCTCCTACTAGACCAGATTGGCTCCCTGCAATGAGCACACAGTCTTGCACTGGCAGTCCGATGTATTCAGCGCCAGCACGTAATGTTGCAACAACCAAATCAGTGCTGCAAAATATTTAAATTATTAAAAAATCAAATTGAAGTTAAACTATGTTAACAGAGAAAGATAAGAAAGATGATATTCTTCACCATTATCATTCAACAGGAACATAAGAACATACATAGTAAAATACCAACTCTTTGTGAATACAATAAAAAAATCAAGGCAGCTTACAAATAGGAGGCAAACGAACTTAAATATCTCTCAATTTCCATGCAAGAAGGGAAAGATTAAAAAAAAAAGAAAAACTTGTTTAACGCTGTGTGTGCACATATACAAGTATACACACACATATAAATATAGTAGTAAAATACCAACTCTTTATGTTAACAATAAAAAAAACCGGCAAAATACATACAGAAGAACAAACTAACTTAAATATCTCTCATTGTCCGTTCAAAAGGAACATGATTAAGAAAAAAAGAAAAACTGCTATATGTGTGTTTATCGTGGGAGGCTCTACTAGGGTTTTGATAAGAAAAAAAGAAAAACTCCTATATGTGTGTGTGTGTTTATCGTGGGAGGCTCTACTAGGGTTTTGCCTGATGGCGATTTTCGTCGTTTGCTTCGCTGAATCTCCTACCTCGTTCGTCGTCTTCATCGATTTCGTTGCTACGTTGCGCTTGAAGAAGAAGGGGTTCGCGCCTCATCAATTTTGTCTGCTTTGTCCTTCATTGTGCTCGTTTGAAGAATACTTTCGTCGTCTTCCACCTTGAAAAACCTTCCTTCTTTTGCATCTTCCTCAACTTCGTTGCTTCGTCGTGCTCGAGAAGAAGGGGGTTCGCTCTTCGATTTCGTCTGCCTCGTTCCGTCATCGTGCTGTTGTTGCCCTAATTGTCATTTATTCATTGTTCGCTCTTTCCTCGACTACATTCTTCACTGATCATAACGCCTCGCCTCCTTTAACCGGTGATGGCTTCGGATGGAACTTATACTGCTGCCCTTGCAGGTGTTCATGCCTCAGGTACTCCTAAATCGAGCTTGTTTCCGTCTTGTTTTGTGCTATTGGAAGGTGGCGAGTTCTGTTACATCAAAAAAGTTGGTATGAAGAATAGGAAGTCAGTCATCTTTTTTTACTGAAGCCGAAAGTAATCTGTTTGCTTCCTCATGTCGTCTGAATTTGGTTGGGAAATTCCTTTATGGTCATCCCAAAATGGAGTTGATCCGTAAAGAATTTGAGCTTATGCATTGCTGTGGAGTGAAAAATTGAACTTTTAAATGGGCGGCACAACCTTATTCAACTTAACAATGAAGATACATCACAAAAATTTCTCTAACCCCAATAACACTGTGGTAACCGTACGATCTAGTCCACTGGCCGATGTCACTATAGGCTCCACTATCCCAGCGGACAATCTTTCAACTACTCAACCTCCACATAATGCTGAAGATGAAGGTCCTCTGACTCCTCTTGTGGAACTCTGTTGGTGGTGGTAGAGGAGACTTTTCATACTTCACTAACTCTAGAACCCATCATTGATGTAACGGTTGGCAATCTTGTGGTTGAGTGTCTAGCCCAAGGTGTGCCCCAACTTCAAGTCCAACATTCTACCCTAAGTGAGCTTTCAACTGCGGCCCTACCATCTCATCAGATCTAGCAAGTTGTTACCGTCATTCAGGCACAAATGGCTCATGATATGCAACAGCCTACCCATGCCCGACAATCTTTGGACCAATCGACGCTTCAGATGAGAAATAACAAGTTTACACATCCAAGAAGGAGAAGAATGGTGGTCTACTAGAACTCAGGAACTTAATGGATGATACTTTGGTTGTTTCGGGTAATGGCAGTAGACTTAACCATTTTTTAGCTGACTCCCTACCTAGAACCAGAGGTAAGAGGTAAGGATACATTAGGTCGTTCTCAAGCTCCCATTTTATGCTTGAATCTTCGAGTGTTTGGAAACTTCACTTTTGGAGTAGAATTTTGCCTACGCAAAAATTTTATTTTTTTGGGTATGCATGCACTTTTTTGGGGGATTGTGCAGTCATCTGTGAAACCCAGGTGCTTTTAGGGTAATGGTTGAAGATCTTTCAATCCCTAAAGATTACAACAGCTCTATCACCGTCAAAGTGCTGAAAAAAGCTTCGATGAATGAGGTTGAATTTCCCTCAACCCTGGAGCACTGACGGGGGCTCATCTGAGAGCTGAACATGTTTAATAGGGGAGCCACAAGGGGGTCGAGCAACTCTTTAGTGTGCTAGAGTTGCAGCACAAGGGGGTCGAGCACCTCTTTAGTGTGCTAGAGTTGCAGCCCAAGTGGACGAGTCTTCCCCCTCCTATTTAATTGTTATATATATATATATATATATATATATATTGAGAAAGCACAATGACTAATATATTAAATAGAAAGTATGATACAGATAGATTGTGTGAGAGGGCCTAAACATGACACCCTGCTCACATGATAACCACTACATCAAATGGTTCCAAAAAAAAAATACAGGAAAATACATGAGAGACGTAAAGAAAAATCCAAAAAGTGTCAAAATATTGAGTATCAGGTAGCTAGAGAGCGACCAAAATTTGACTAGCCTCTGCCTCTAGTTCTAGGGAAGGAGCAAGTAAGCTAATAAATTGAAAAAATTAGTGTCATTTTCAGTAGTAACTAATGTATCATCCAATAAATTCCCGATCTCGAGTCGGCCTCCATTCTTCTTCTTCCTCCTAGAATAGACCTGTCATTCCTCATTTGATGATTGGCTCACCTGATCACTGGATTGGTCTAAAGTGTGTCGGACATGTGTAGGTTGTTGAACATTAGAAGCAAAATTTTGTTGTAACAACTGATCTTTTATCGGATCGAAGGAGCACTCTCGTGAGTCTTGGCATGTAAGTGGGTCTTCTTCAATAACAGTGATTGGTATAATCACGTTTAGATCTTTACCTATAGAATGGTGTTCTTCATCTGGAATTGTGGTGTTGGAAAGAGGATCGGGTTGCACCTTCTCAGCTAGAGAGCGACCCAATTTTGTGTTCCCTCTGCTTAAAGAGCTAACTAATAAATTGGCAAGATGAGTGTCATTGTTAGTAGTAACCAATGTATCATCCAATAAATTCTCGAGCTTGAGTCGACCTACATTCTTCTTCTTCCTTCTGGAATAGACCTGTCATTCCTCATCTGAAGATTGGCTCACCTGATTAGTGGATTGGTCTAAACTGTGTCGGACATAGGTTGTTGATCATTAGAATCAAAAATTTGTTGTACCAGTTGATCTTTTATCAGATCAAAGGAACACTCTCGTGAGTCTTGACATGTATCTGGTCTTCTTCAATAATAGTGAGTGGTATAATCACATTTGGATCTGTACCTATAGAATGGTGTTCTTCATCTGGAACTGCGATGTTGGAAAGAGGATCAGGTTGCACCTTCTCAACAGGGATGGTAGGTTACTGATCTTTAGCGACATTCGGCCTTAGATGAGGATACAAGCAATAACAAATGGTAGAACTGTGACCAAACATACTACAATGAGATTAATAAGAAAGGGTGGTTCTATTTCAACATTTTATCAATACTCTTTGTGAGTGGTGTCAATCCAAATCTAACATGAATCTGGTTAAGTGATATCTCTCTAACTAACACACAAGCCGCAAAAGGTCTGGTGATAGCAAGCATAGGACAATCAACTTTGAGTGGTTTACCGTAAGCAGTTGCTAAAGAGCAGTGTGTTTTCAAGTTGAACAGATATAATTTTAACCCAGGAAGCCTTATCCAAACAGAAATGATAGGAGACTCCGTTTTTGGATCAAAATCAACAGTCCACTTCATAATTTTCATAAAAAGGTTGTCAATCTTGGTAAATTATCGAGAAAAAATGCGAGTGTAATCGGCATCGTGAGACAATTGAATAAGTATATGTCGACCGTCAAGTAAGCCAATATTCCAACTGCCCAATAGCTTCATAGCATCAAACTCTTTTTGCATGATCTCTAATTTTGGGTGTCCATAAAAGAATTTCCCCACTAGAGAAAAACAACAAGAGAACGCGAGAGTGTTTGTTTCAACCTCAGTGAGAATAAGAGCAGGCTTTCCATTTTTTTTGTTAAGCTTTTTAATGAAAGTGTGATCATCGCCACCTTCAATAGCGTCGTGGAAAGATTGAGGAGCATTGCAGGACTTGCCAATATGAAATCGTTCTAATGCGTGCTAGATTGTCAACTTTATTGGCTTCTCTCTTTCTACCATTCCACTTAAATATCTGGGGTTTTTTTTACTTAAATGCAGAAAAAGGCGGATTCAGTTTGATGAGATGGTGGAAAAGGTGCGGAAGGTTTTTTTACTTAAATGCAGAAAAAGGAGGATTCAGTTTGATGAGGTGGTGGAAAAGGTGCGGAAGAGATTATGGGATTGGAAAAATAATTTTCTCCTTTGGGGGTAGAATTACACTACTCAGGAGTATCTTACATTCTCTTTCGTTATATACTCTACAAGTTTTCCAACTTAAGAAGAGCACTCTCTTAAGCCTTGAAAGATGTTTTAATAAGTTTTTATGGGTGGGGAATTACATAGGTAAAAGATGGATGCCTTGGAAGAATATTTGCAAACCTCTCTATGCTAGTAGATTGAGGTTCAAATCATTGCCTCATATTGTTGATATTAATGTTTTCAAGCAATGATTTAATTTTCGGAAAGAGGACTCATTGTGGGCTAAATTCATGACTAGGAAATATTACTACTCCACGCATCCTGCTTTGATTAGTTGGCGGTTGGGGGATTTCACGATGTGGAAGAGAATGCTTCATATCAGAGATTGGGCTAAGGAGGGCTAAGGAGTTCATTTACTTACTGGAAGGTGGAGAGTGGAAATATTTCTTTTTGGCATGATTGTTGGTCTCATGTCATGCTTGATATGAGGGATACAAGGTTTTCTAACCTTATGTTTCTGATACCTGGGTAGATGGACACTGGGATTTTCTCTTTCTCCTCAGGCTTCTTGGGCTGGAGCGAGCAACCTTTATTTCCTCAATTCCTATTGAGCCTCAACTGCAAGATATTCCTACCTTGAAATTTCCTGTTACTTGCTCCACTACCAAATCTTTATATTCTGCCTTACATAATTTTCACAGACTCCCTTGGGGAGAAGGTGTTTGGAATTGGGCGTTAACCCCATCTATGTCTTTCCTGGCTTGGCGGATTTATTACTCTATTATTCCTTGTGATGATATCTAAAAGTTGAAGGGTTTGAGACTTCCTCACAGTGTTGCTTGTGTAATTCGACAAAGGAGTCAATTGAGCATATTTTCTTTTCTTGTCCTTATTCTCTTTTTATTAGGAGAAAGGTTGGCTTGTGGTTTGGCAGTATAGTGCATCCGGATCGGAATCTATTTTTTACCACTCTCATTTGTAATCTTGGATCGGAAGCAAAAGGATCGAAAGCAAAAGCACTTTCTGCAAGTGTACATTTACATTATATGCTGGTTTATATAGATGGTTCGTAATGATATTAAACATGAGGGTAAAATTATTCAGAACATGATGGTTTTTACTAATATTATTGCTTATGTTAATAAACTTTGGAGGACGGGTAATGCTAAACATAACTTCTTTTCGGACATCACTTATTTTCATTCATTGGGGTCCACAGCTTTGGTTGAGGGTAGGATACCGCAACTCCTGGTTTTGGTGAGATGGCGGCCACCTCCCAGGGGGCGGGTTAAGACCTCCCAGGGGGTGGATAAAGTTTAATGTTGATGGGAGCTGAAAATCTTGTAGTGTTGGTTGTGGCGGCATTGCTAGAAATCATGTTGGGGACTGTACTCTCTTCTTTTCCTCTCCCTGTTTCTCTGAGACTCCTCTTGAGGTGGAGGCTCGGGCCATTTTGATGGCTGTCATGATAGCTCAAGCTCTTAACTGACATTTTGTTTTCTTTGAATGTGATAATCGCAATTTAGTTGACATTCTTGCTAATGGAGTTGATGCCTCCCGGGATATCCTTTATTATATTAAGAGAATTAAACTCTTAACATCTTAAATGTCTGTCATTTGGAGTTTCATTTATCGAGAGGGGAATAGACTCGCTAATTGGCTTGCTATCTTTGGTAGCACTAGTAATAATTGTTGGGTGAGATCCGTTCCCCCACCTCCTTTACTCACTTTGCTAGTTGGAGACAAGATTAATGCTCCTTATGTCCGTCGTGATGTTTCTTATTAGCATTTCATTTTGGTGGTTTAATTTGTCCTTGACTTGGCCAAACTTTTGGGACGGACTAATAGGCATTTTTTAGGGTTTTCAGTTCTCCTCTCTTCCCCTTTCTGCTGGCTTTTTTCTGTTTCAGGTTGGAATGGACTCTTGCTGTCTAAAAATGGACCCTTGGTTGTGGTTGCTCCTCGACTGCTCATTATCGTCTCTACCATTACGTGGTCCCTAGCTCTATCTTTCGGTTCTGTGGTAGTTATTTATCACTTGTTTAGTTCCTATGCCTTGCTTGCTTTACCAGCTCCTACTCCTTAGGCAAAAGAGGCTTCCTCTTGTGAAACTAGTTTTTTGCTCGGTTTTTATGTTTAACTCTTTCTACCATTACGTGGTCCCTAGCTCTATCTTTCGGTTCTGTGGTAGTTATTTATCACTTGTTTAGTTCCTATGCCTTGCTTGCTTTACCAGCTCCTACTCCTTAGGCAAAAGAGGCTTCCTCTTGTGAAACTAGTATTTTGCTCGGTTTTTATCTCTCTTCCTGTTTTTTGTTTTTTGCAGGATCTTCATGTGGTTAGAGCTCTTCCTGTTTTTTGTTTTTTGTTTTTTGCAGGATCTTCATGTGGTTAGAGATGCAAATGACTTTTTTTTTAATCTCAACTGGATGTGTATGTCGTCTCAGCGAACTCACCGTATCATTGGAGCTATTTTCTTAGATTTTCTGGTGTCATTTATTTATTTTTGGTATACATCTTTATTGGGTATACTTTCTTTTCGATATACTGCTTCTCATATATTTTTGGGTACACGGCTTCCTTTTTCATTTTTTGGTGTGGAGTTGTACTGTGGATAGAGGAACTCCTAGGAACCTCTTCTTTATTTTTACATAGGGACAGCCTCCAACGTCTCCCTTTTTCCTTCTGAGGTTATATCCAACAACAAGAAGGTGCTCCAACTGTAACTCGTCCCAAGGTGGTGTATATCCTTCCTTATTCCTCTTACCTGCTCGCTGCCATCAAACCTGTGCCCCTCCTCTTCCCAGATTCCCTACCGCCAACCCCAAAGATCAGTTCCCACTGCCACCCCAAACCTCTCCACGTCTCAACCTATCACCAGCCCACTCCACTCTCCTGCCATTAACGTAAAGCACTATAGCACCTGTAGCTACTACCGTAATCCTCTCTCTTCATACGATGCTACTATCATAACCCGCTCCAGCACACACTTGCTGCTACCCTCCTCTTCAACCCCCACCTGTGGTTGCCGTAACTCCCTCCAGCAACACTTGTTGTTATCGTAAGTCCTAGCCAGCCATCATACCTATTGTCCAACCGGTGTTCACTCCACCCCCTCGCCTCGCCTCGCCCTAGGAAAGTTTTATGTTTGTGTTGTCCTTTTTCTATTGTCAAGAGTCTTTGTGTGTAACCCTTTGAATTTCAATAATATTTGTCTTTCTATTACGGTTTGCGTTAACTCTGGTATCACCTAGTCTGGATTTTGTGCGTCTTTATTATTTCCTCTTTTTGTTCGTTGTTTGTGACTGTTTATTTAAATTTCTACAACAATATTATCGTTCTTTGTTTGGGTTAACTCTGGTATCATTTGATACCAAAGCTAGTCTAACTCTAGTTTTATCCTAAGATTTCTGGCACTAAAATCACAGTCTACATAGCGAGTTACTGTTTTCATAGCCATAAACTACGGCCTTAGCGGCCCTAGAGGCCCATTATAGCTATTATTGTTGAAGTATCACTGTATATCAACTTTGTAACTCCATCTTCCCCGATTCTGGAGAAGAGTGAAGTCATGAACTTATAATTATAGTGGATTATTTCAACTAATTTAGGCCCCGTGATTTTTCCCCTTTCTAGGATATTTCACATAAAAATCGACTTTTTATTTGTGTACATGATGGATCTTCGTTCAACACTAAGACGCTAAATTATTATACTACCGCAGCAGACTTTCCAACACGCATCAAGCCCAAATAGAAGGAACAATTTGAGCAATGACTCAAGGGCAGCCTGCCAAGGAGTGAGGAGAGGATCAAGTTGTGAATGGAGATAAGGGGATTTCAATTGCCTGTAGAATCAACCCTATAAATTCAATGGAAAAAAAAAACACTAACTGGAGCAATTGTGTGAGAAAATGAGAGTCACAAGAAGGATGTCAGATTTAGGTTAGCTCATCTTAACTATAACATGTTTAACAAATATATTTTACCCATAAGTTAGAAATCATTTAAACATGCTTTAAAGTTTATTTCAAGCTGCTTCCATGATGAATTTATATCAATGTCAAATTCAAGTTGCCTTCTACAAAGTAGATTTGTCACCATGAGTTTACACCGTACTCAAGTTGCCTGTAAAATAGAAAACCTATATGACAACACTATTTTAGAAACTACATCAATAAAATATATCACTAGCACAGAAATGATATTTCCACTAGTACATAGCTAAAGAAAAGAACGCTCACAGAAGGCAAACCTTTCAATTGAGCTTCTATCAATATCAACATTCAATTTCAGAATGGAGGCAACCTCCTGAGCAACTCTTTGCTTCTCCATAGAAACTATCATCACTCCAAAAAAAAATTCAGAAAAAGAGCTTAAAACTTAATGAAGACCATTAAAAAGGGAATATTTAAAGGCTTCGGATCACATACCAGCTTTTTTTGCTTCTTTAGCAAGCTGCTCATCCAGACTAGACGAGACTCCTTTGCCAAGAACAAGCTGTCCATAGTAACTTTGTTGCACTTCCTCCTTGCCAACTACTTTTACTTCCGATATCCGATCATGGCCTAGCTTATCGATTATAGATCTACAATTTTGAGCAACAGAAAAGAAAAAATAGTCATTCTTTTCTAAAACTCTAAAATAATAGCTATCATGGAAGTCAATTAAGGTATCTTTACATTTTGAAATGCATGAATAAAATCCAAAAATAGATCTAGATGAAGTATGAAATAGCACCGCTCAAAATGTCAACAAGCCTTGAATACAGCCGGCTGGAAATGAGCTTCTTATTTAGAAATTATCCAGCAAAATAAATTTAGTTTTCTGCCATCCTTAGCAAGAAAAAATAAAGAAAATACACCTTTTGAGCTCAAAATGGTGATTCCAAAAAAGGAAAATAGAGAGTATAGGAATAGAATATTTGAATACTAGGTTGCTGAAAAAAAGGTAAGATGGTTGGGAATTTACCATGAGAATGGAATATCCATCAATAAAGTGTGTAAATAGAAAACTGTAGTAGGTACAGGAAGAAGTAAAGGAAGTAGAAATTGCAAAGCCAATATGATTAAAACTTAACGATGAATTATATGAACCAGAGTTAACAAAAAATTCAACACAAAAAACATACATAAACCTGATCATACACAGTTGAGATCAGTTTATTGATGATAACAAATTAACAATATTGTGATATGACTAGCAATGCAGTCCATTTTTATCAATTATTGAGAATCAATGAATACTCGAAACTAGAAAAGACTGAATCTTGAATGAATCAGTGGTGATAACCAACATGCTAAATAAGCTATGTTAATTTTTCTGGAAACTTTAAAATAAATTAACGACAGTCTTAACTTGCTAAGGTAAGAAGTGTTTGGCCAAAAAGCTTCAGAGAAGAAGTTTTTTTTTATAATTATTTTTTTTTCATCTAAGTAGATAGCTATAAGGCTAAAGAAGGGCTTGGGGCATGGCTGAACCGGACATGGGTTCAGCTGAGGAGTTTGGTCCAGCAAGAGGTTGGACCGGCCCTCCTCCGGCTCCTTTGAGCGGGATCTACCACTCCCACTCCTACAGACCCCTTCCCTTTTTTGATTCCTACCTATTCTATCCCCCTTACTTTTCTATTTCGTGCTTATTCTACTTCTTGCATATTCTATCTACTAATCCCCCTTATATATATGTGATGTTTTCTTAGGTTAGAGAAAATTTTTGCTTATCTCTGGTTTTAGACTTCCGCCTTAAGCGTGTCTCCCTCCCAAGGGTTGTATCTGACCACGAGAAAGTGCTCCAGCTTAACTCATTCGAGATGGTGACTATCTCCACTTGTTCTCTCTTTCCTGTTGTCGTCCAAACATCTAGCCACCGCACAGGCCTTTAGACCCCTCTTACCGTTGTCGTCCATTCTCCAAGCACCTTCTACCCACCTCACAGACCTTCCATGTCAAACCCCAACTAGCCACCTTTTTAGTGTCGGATGAGGTGCGACATAGGCGGACAACTCGACGGACAACTCGACCAGATTAAATTCTCAACAAAACTTGTCCGAACTTGCAGAATCATAACTCATTGAATGATGAACTAGTTTAACTAAATTTCCGCAAACAAACGTGATTCATTGTATTTCATGATTCATTCATATATATACTCAAAAGCATGAAAAATCATAAACTCAAAATATGATAACTATACAGAGTTGCCAAATCCAACATAAATAAAAAACGTACCTAAACGTCTGTACAAGCTCCCAAACTTCTATAGTGCAAAAATTGTTCAAATCACCCTGGCAACTCACCTTGGTGCTCGTTACCCCCACCTGGAAGGCAACAACGTAGAGTGAGTAACAAGTTCAATGAAATAATCAAGGCTGAAATGAGATCTTATACACAGAAAAACAAATAACGTGCATGCTCAAATGAAACTGTATATATTTGTAAGCACAAATCATAATATGCTAACATAACAAAGAGCATGAAAAGAGAGCAAGAGAGTGAAAATTAAAAAAGTTACATAAACATGTATGTCATAAGCATGAATTCATAAGTATAATCAAAACATGTTCATAAGTTGTTTATCGTATGTAATCATAACAATGTCATTTCATAAATATCATTTCATAATGATGTCACTTGTAAATGTATAGGCATCAACTACTTACATGTCATGTCATCATGGGTCATCACTCTGCCCCAAAATAATTGATAAACGTTGCTCCCCCCTAATATAACAATTATTAATAGTCACTTAGATATCAATGGTTCCCTATGTTCTGTCACTATCTGATCACTGTCATCATGGGTCATCACTCTGCACCAAAATAATTGATAAACGTTGCTCCCCCTAATATAACAGTTATTAATAGTCACTTAGATATCAATGGTTCCCTATGTTCTGTCACTATCTGATCAAAATAGTTCCAGAAATTTATCCCTACCTAAACACCAGGAGTCGGGAATATTACATACCTACATTGCATGCTGGCAATCACTCATGCAATAGTCTACTCATAACATTATTCATAATATTGCTTAGAATAATACTTGTAACAAACATTCATAGACATTTCATAAAGCATAATTCATGTAATCGGACATTTCATGTATCATAGGCATGAATCATATTAAAATGAATACTTTGAAATAATTAATTTCATATGCATATTCATCTGTATAACACTGTCATTGTCGGGTGCTAAGCTCCAAATGTGAAAAGTGGAGGATTTTGTTAAGTAATCGATAATTAATACAAAATTTGTTGAAAAATCATAATATGAATCATTTAAATCCTTGCGTATATATTAGAGCGCCTCTTGAAAGCGATGAGTTGTATAACTTGAATACAATAAAAAGTATGTACGGGTCGCTACACCAGCGCCTGAGTAAAGTGTCGAATAAAGGTTCTCACATTACGGATAAATACGGATAAAAAAGTTAGTTCGTTAAACTAATATTAGCATATGAGCTTAGAATATAGGTACTCTCACAGGTAAATTAATGAGATTAGTTAATATTATGGTTCATAGGAAGATAAATATCTATATCTTATATATTCAAGAAACTAAATAGGTTAAAAAAATACTAAGAAGATTAATAGCTTAGGTTTTATTCAAGAAACTAAATAGATTAAAAAAATACTAAGAAGATTAATAGCTTAGGTTTTAAATTTTGGTATTCAGGTAGGAGTCGCATTAGAAATGGTACAAGTGTAACTATAAATAAGAGTTTGAAAAATAATGCTGTAAAAGTTCTAAAGTTTGTTGTTGATACTAAGATTTTTAATGTTATAAGTGGTTATGCTCCTCAAGTAGGTTTAGATATTGGTTCAAAAGAAATGTTCTAGAATGACCAAAAAGAATTAATAAAAATGATACGTCTTGGAGAAAGAATTTTAATTGAAGGAGATTTAAATAGACATGTTGGTAGAGTTGTGAAAGATTTTAGAATTATTCTTGGTAACTACGGCTTTGGAGTGATTAATGAGGAAGATAGAATCATATTACATTTTTCTTTAACGTATAATTTTGTTATTGATAATATTTTATTTCAGAAAAGATATGAGCATATTATTATTTACAAAAATGTATGTAATAAAACACAAATTGATTATTTTTTTATGAGAAAAAAAAATCGTCGAGAGTGTAACGATTATAAGGTTATTCCAAGTGAAAACTTAATTACCTAACATCAATTGTTAGTTCTGAATTTTAAGATGAAGAGTAGTAAGATAAAGAAGATAAGAAAATATTTTCATAGAATTAAATGAGAGCGCTTAAAAGACACAATTAATTTTGCGAGTAAATTTTAAGATTTCAAGATTTAGGATGTTCATGAAGAAGCGAATGCTATGTTAGATAAAGTAACAAACACTATTAAACAAGTGATAAAAGGAAAATTCTTCACAATTAAAAATAAATGGTGGACGAATAATAATGTGCAAGAAAAAAATATAAGAAATTGTGTTATTAAATTTTATTTAATGCAAAAGCTTAGCTAATTGCGAAAAGCATAGAGTGACCAGTAGGGAGTCTAAGAGGAAAATTTGTGACACTAAAAATTCTACTTTTAGTGATCTTTATAATAGATTAGATACTAAAGATGATGAAATATATATGTATAAATTAGTCAAACAAACAGAAAAGAAAAGTAAGGATTTGAAGGTTGGAACGTCAGAAACAGCCTATGCCTTTGCTAAAAGTGGTAAGGAGTGTCTGTTTACTGAGCAAAATTTACAATTAAAGTGAATTAAAGCGTATTTCGAATTGTAACTAATGTATAGAAATGAACTAGCAAAATAAGTGCAAAGAACTGAGTTTAATCTGACAAAAATCAAAATAACCCTAAAGTGATGAAATACAGTATAATATTCGGACCCAATCCGAAATCGAAGATTTAAAATATCGTTTTGGTGAATATGATTCACCACCACACCTATCGGGGGTCCGACCTCACAAAAAAATTGAAAACTCAAAGGATTCCTGGACACTTTATTTATGATGTTTAAACAAAAAGTCCTGGAATTCAAAAAAGTTAGTTGTACTTATCCAAGAAAGAAATGGACTAAGTAAACTAACAGAAAAGAAGGGTAATATCGTTCGAGAGGAAAACGAACACATTACCGATGTATGAATACAATTATTCCTGACTAATATGGAGAGAGAAACTAGTCCCCAGCGGAGTCGCCAGAATTTGTCGGATTTATGAGTAAAAGGTGTTTTTGTTGGAGAAAGATATTCAACATGGGTGGGTGAGTTATTTTGATAAACTTTTCAACAAATTTTCTGAAAATACATTCGAATTTAGTGATATTTATATCATTAATAATAATAAAACATTTTATTTTTACCGACACATTAGTAAAAAAATTGAGGAGGCTTTAAAGAAAATCATGAGTGGACAATCAATAGGACCTGTGATATCCTAATTGAAGTGTGAAAATATTTAGGAGAACTGGAAGGTTTCTTGGCTTACTAAACTCTTTAATATTATTTTAAAAACTAAGAATATGCCTGAGTGGAGGAAGAGTATTTTAGTCCATATTTTTAAGAATAAAGTGGATTCACAAGTGTCAAATTATAGAGGAATTAGGTTGATAAGTCATGCTAAAATTATGGGACAGAGTAACTGAACATAGGTTAGGTTAAGACGTGATACAAAAATTTCTCATAATCAGTTTGGACTTATGTCAAGCAGGTCTATTATGGAGACTATACATTTATTGAGAGGTTTGATGGAGAAGTACACAGGGAATAAGGAAGATCTACATATGATTTTTATTGATTTAGAAAAAACTTACGATAAGGTTCCAAGATAAATCTTTTGGAGATTTCTAGAGAAGAAATGTGTGGATATGACTTATAGTCAAGTAATTAAAGATGTATACTAGAGCTGTTACTTATGTTCGAATAGAAGGAGGATTGACCAAGTATTTTCTCATTTTAGTTGGATTACATTAATGATCGACTTAAGCCCATATCTTTTTCGCTTTAGTTATGAATACTCTTACTGGACATTTACAGGAGGATGAACCTTTGTGTATGCTTTTCACTGATGATATACTTTTTGTGGAGATAAGACTAGAGAAAGAGTCCAGAAAAAGCTTGAATTATTGAGGTCTACATTGGAGTCTAAAGGCTTTCGTTTGAGTAGATCTAAAACTGAATATATGGAATGTATTTTTAGTAGTAATAGTAGTAGTATGGAATGTATTTTTAGTAGTAGTAGATTTAGTGTCATAGTTGTAACTACGGGTGATCAAATTAGTAAAAAGGGTGATTGTTTTAGATATATTGGGTCTATTGCTCAAAGTGATGAGAATGCTATTAGTGGAACTCAAATTCATTGGTTGAAGTGGAGGAATGCATCAGAGTCTATTGTGTGATAGAAAAGTACCTCTTAGACTGAAAGGAGAATCTTATAAGATAGTGTTGAAACCTGCAATGCTCTATAGAACAGAATGTTAGCCTTTAAAAGAGAAGCATAAAACAAAGTTATGTGTTGCTAAGATGAGAATGTTTAGATAGATGAGTGGCTTTACCCTTAGAGACAAAATGCGAAATGAATATATTCGTGATAGGGTAGGTGTAGATCTAATGGAGAACAACATTAGAGAGAGTCGTCTTAATGGTTTGGTCACATTAAGCGTCGACCATCTGATGATCCTATTATAAGAGTATCTATTTTAGATTCGACTTTTGTTAAGAAAGGCAGAGATAGACCTAAAAAAACTTGGCTTATTGTATAAAAAATGATCTTAATCTATTCTAATTAAGTGAAAATATAACTCTCAATAGGAAGCAATGGAGTAAAATGTTTCAAGTTTCATGTAGTCGATACCACATAGTGGGATAAAGGCTTTATTGTTGTTGTTGTTATTGTTGACATTGCATATTCATTTGTATCATAACATAGCATCACATGTATCGTAAGAAAATTAACTAGCATTTAGGCATTCCAAGCAGGTGTTCATCTACAATATACAAGAAGTCTAAAAGCAACAGTGTCAAATACAGTCACATAAAACCAATAGAAGGTTATTTTTCTTAATTTAGCGCACACATATTTCACTTGACGTGACGGATCAGCTCTACGATGAGTTTGCACACGCTTGTCTCGAGCACGTCGCCTCGTATAAACCTAGGAATTCATAAGCATTGTAGGAATTCAGGAAATTCCAACTCGTATCGTAATTTAACCCCACACATGACTTATTTGCCAAAACATACCTCAAATAGACTATTCAGCATAAATCTGCCCTTCCTACATGCCTATTATTCACCCAACCCTCTCTAACACCTCAAAACTCACTTTTTATTTGCTAATTTCGTATTAAAGACCTTATAGAAGTATGGAAACCACTTTTGACACTTCCAACATAAGTTCAACACCTCTGACAACCACCAAAAATGAAAGTACACAAAAAATGAGGCAAACTTCAAAATAGAAGTGTGAGAAAGAAATTGAAAGTTTCAAAAGACGTGAGAGAGGGATTCGTACTCACCGAAATCACCCCAGAGCTTTCTACTGTCAAAAAAGTTTCAAAAGACGTGAGACTCACCGAAATCACCCCAGAGCTTTCTACTGTCAACCGAGGCTTACCTACTGTGGGTGATGTCGCGAGCTGCTCTGCGATACAGTAATTGAGCACAAAGGTTCTTAAGATTCGCTTGTCATCCCTGTAGTGAGGGAGGAGGAAATCGGGAGATAGGAGGAAAATTCGAAGGCCTTGGAATCTATGCAATCAAAACCAGTGAATAAAAGGCATGAGAGGTCGGTTGGCTACTGTAATCCGTAATTAGGAATATAATAAAGGTTTTAATTAGGTTAAATAAAAATATAACATTCAAATTTTATATTTCCCAATTCATTCATAATTCATGCATAGTGTTTTATTTCGAACTGATTGATTTCATGCGAAAATTTTATAAAGATAATTTAGTTGAATTTCGGGAGATGCAAAATTTAAGATACCTTTAAAATATTTTGAACTTTACCTACTTTTATAAATTTTGGGTATTACATTTCGACCCCTCTTCCTATTGTTGTCATTCGTTCTAGCCTTCCTCCAGCAGCTGCACCGCCTTCTAGTCCTCTTCCTATTGTTGGTGAGCCTCTAGACATCAGTTCCTATTGTTGTCTAGTCCACCGCCGAATTTTCCTGCAACTGTCCCGTCCACCATCCCCTAGGTCGGCTGCTCTCTATCTCCATAGACACCTACTCCTGCTACTGTCCAGTCCATCACCAACCCTTACTCTATTCTACGCCGCCACCATTTGCTGCCAAGCTCCTCCCAGCAGCCCGCCCCAGTCCTCCATTATCCCGCGCAGCAGCCCCGGGTTGTCAGCCACCTTCCAACACGACCACAGCTTCAATCCCTCCCTTCCGGGCCCGCCATTCTCCTCTAGAAGACGTTTTTGTGTTTTGCGATATTTTCTTTTATTGTTCTTCAGCATCATTGTCATTAATTGTTGTTTATATGTTTATGTTGTTTTATTTTGAGGATTCATCATTGTAACTATTGAATTCAATAATAAATCTTGTTGTTCAGTCGTCATTTGAGTTAACTCCGATATTAAGGCCTTTCTTTAATAAAATAGAAGCTGCTCTAGACCTTACACATCAAGTTTTGATGGAAAATAGTTTGCCCAACTTGCAACAGTGTCCATCAGCTTGTCGTGAAGAGGCTGATGAAGAGAACAATAAAGAAATAATGTGATAGTTAAAAAGAGCATGAAGGAGAAAAAGTGGCTGTCAAGAAGGAAGAAATCAAATGGCTTGGAATTTGCATTACATTTTACTAAACCTCTCGCACATCATTTTTCTTCATCAATTCAGTATAACAGTGGATCGCCAATTGAAGTGTGAAACAGGTAAAAATTAGAGTACACACTTGAATAATGTTCGAAATTCATTGAATAAAAACGAGGAAGATAAGGTGAATTCTTTCAACAAAATAATATAATTAACGAAGTCAAATGAAGTTGAGCAGACCTGCATACTTCATCACCATTTTTGCTGTAAGCAGTAAGCAAAACTAGAGGTAGGCCTTCTTGAATTGCTTCATCAATAAAGCTACAACAAATTAAACAAGTCTCGTTACAGAAAGTAACACAAAAAGAAGCAGAATGAATAGCCCTAAGAGTTTCGGAAAGCATTTTAACTTTGAAAGCCAAATTTATTAATAACCAACAAAATGGATTAAAAAAAATCAAGAATTTATGTTTTATTTTTACTGCAAATTTATCATTCAAAAGTTTAAAGGGTATTGAAAAGTATTGAAAACTAAATTGCAACAAAATAAAATTCTATCCTCAGCTGGAAAAGACAAGATACCATTATCCTTTCCTTGAAACTGTCAATATAAAAAATGACTAAATTTTAGAAATCGACACTTAAAAAATTTATTTTAATAAACGGGTATTTACAAAAATAAAAAAAATTTGAATTTGTCGCCGGTTAGAACGGCGACAATTACTTATTATCGCCAATCGAAACAAAATGAATGGTGGTTGGAGAATTGCAACATAAATTTGTTAGATAGCCATTCGATGTGGCTAACCACCAAATTGGCTATATAAGGCACCATTGGGTGCCTTATTTGTCCCCTCTTCCCCTCTCAAATATACACTATTTTGCTTTCATACTCTTCCCCAAAACTCATATATCATTCCATTTTGGTCGAAATAAATTTGTCAGCAGGATCACTTAGAAGGCTGCTTAAATTTGCAAGGAAAATTTGGTTACAACCTTTTTTCTTTTTCATTTTGGTATGTTGCCTGAGTTTATGTATGTCACTTAGTCAATTTCTTATTATTTAATCTATATGTTGTGGAAAAAAATGTAGAATAATTAAGAATTCTTTAGATGATCTTGTTTATTTATGCTCTTTTTTACTTAAAAGTTTAATTAGGAAGAAGATTAATGATCAATCCATGTTGAAGCAAATAACAAGAAATATATTTAATTATTGAACAAATACTTCAAGGTTTTATTAAGACAAAAACTTGTTTGAAAAAAAATCAGAATTCAACTTAAGTTAATATTGAATACGAGATTAAAGATCTTACAAGCTCTGTCTCTAAATAAATCAAATATTCAATGGTCATGATGTTCATAAGAAATAAAAAAATTATAATTAGATAATAATATAGGTCTCTACCAACCTACTTTGGTGACAATACAATTTATATGAGGCTATTTTTGAAAAGATGAAAGCCCATAAGAATAATTATACATGGGAAGTAGTAACTCTGATACAAGGGAAGACAAATATAGGATGCAAATATTCATTATTAAATAAAAAGTTGATAGCACCATAGAACGATACAAAGTCAAATTGGTTCTGAGGAATTCACTCAAAAATCTGGCATTGACAATTTACAAACATTTGCTCAAGTTGCAAAATTAAATAAAGTGAGAATTCTCTTATCACTGGCTGCTAACTAAACTAGCCACAGCAGCAATTAGATATTCAAAATGCAATTTGGAATGGAGAATTGTTAGAAGTATACATGATGCAAATGTACATGATGTGGGAGTCCCGAACCAGATGGTTGGGCCCCCTGCAGCAGGCAGGCTCTTCCCTTCCACTGGACCGAACATCCTGCTCAAGCAAACACCTCTGTAGAGTCAGCTGGCCCTACTTCTCAAAAGATTTGTGGCCCAATTGATGTGAAAACCAATCCTTTATTACCCTAGGTCTACACATGTTGTTTTCATCATGTCCGAGTTAGTCTTTCATATATTTTTGTTCAGAACAGCTATCGGCTTTTGGTGTTTCCCTACTAGGGTTGGATCCGAAAGCAAGAATGTGTTTCGGCTATAACTTGCCTGGGTGTTGACCGACTTCAAATAACTGAATGGCGCTCCGACTATAATTCGATCCGGCAGGGACATACATTCTCAATTTTCTGCCTCCCACTACCTTTCTTTAGTCTCCACCCACCGTATTTGCTGCAGCCACGTCTGATTTTCCTGCAGCCTGCAATTGCTTGTCACCTTCTTTCCCCTCCCCTTCCCAATCTTCATTACAGCCGCCCTAACCTGCCGCCGCCCTTCCCAGGCTTCCTCACAATCACCTAACCTACTGTCAAGCATCCAGGCAACCCTACAATGCCCACCTCTCCTTCCTGCTGCCACCTTCCCCCCTCCCTTCAGGCTTCCCCACTATTGTCCAGCCAATTGTCAACCTTTCCCAAGCTTCTGATCGACCACTCAACCACCCATACCTCTCGGTTTCCCCCGCCTCAAACCACTACCAACACCTTCAAACCTCGCCCTAGTGGGATATTTATGTTTGTGACGTTATTTTCAATTATTTTAGTTGATTGTTTGTGACTACATATTTAAATTTCAAAAATAATATCATTGCTTTGTTGTGGTTGTGGTTTGGGTTAACTCCAATATAATTTGGTATCAAAACTTTGCCTAACCCTAGTCCTATCCTAAGATTTCTAGCAGTCGTCATACCCAAACCTATCTCCACCCTCTCTAATTTTTTTTCTCCCCACCCTAGATCACCATTATACACCTCTTCCACCTACTTAGACCTAAAACCCTAATGACGCCCTCGAGGAAACAATTGTTAGAATCTAATCAGAAATCTATCATAGAATACATGCAACGACTAATTTTCCAATCGCTACATTGGTTCGATGCCATTGAGAAAAGAGCCCATGGCGGGATCACCATCGACCGTAATAGTGAAATCTGTGAAGGAGAACAAGAACACCTGAATCCTTGTTGTATGGATGAATCCAGCGGAGAAAAAGACGGGCCACAAAGCTTTGGGGTACAGTATCAACAAAGACCTAGAGCTGAAGTGCTTATTGGAAGATACAAAAATGAGATGCTTCTTGGAAGATCCAGAGATGAGATGTCTGTTAGATGATACAGAGATGAGATGCCAGTTGGAAGAAATAGAGCTAAGATACATTTTAGAGGATATAGAGATGGAGTGCATGAGATGATGTGCATAGTGGAGGATGTAGAGGACTAGGAAACAAGGTGGACCAGTCAGAGTTCAAGGGAAAAATTGATCAAGATAATTTCCTCAAGTAGATGGAGATAGTTGAGTGAATCATTGAATGCAAGGAGTTTCCTAATAATAGAAGAGTGAAGCTCACAATCATCAAACTCAAAAACAATGTTTATTTGTGGTGGAAGTACTGAAGGAGATATAAAGAAAAGGTCAAGATGAAATCACTTCTTGGGAGAAGATAAAATGGGAGATTTAGCCACAATACGTACCGCTGCACTATCACCAGGATATTTCCTTGAAGCCACACTAGCTGCAGCAGAAAAAGCTATCAGTGGAGGAGTACACGGCAAAATTTATGCAATTTAAGTTGAAGTGTGAAAAGATGACAGAGAAGCACACCATAATCAAGTACTTGGGAAGCCTGAAGCCCGCAATCAATAATGTGGTCCTGCTGCAACCCTATTGGATACTGGAGGACATGCAAACCTTAGCATTTAAATTGGAGAGGTAGCAGAAGCTAAGGAGGCAACCACCGTCAACTAGACAACCACCCACATTTGGAGGCCTCAGGAAGAGCATGCCTCAAAGAGTGGAGCAGACTAGTCAGTAGCATAACAGAGCCACTCCGAGTTAAAAGCCTGAGAAAAAAACACGACCAGTACAGTTCCAGCCAAGAAATGCTTCAAATATCATGGTTTTGAACACATAGCTTTCTGTCGCTTAACGAGCAGAGTTGTGTTCTTCACTGAACAGGGTAAAATGAAGGAATTGAGCGATGAAGACAGCTAGAGAGATAGGTGGGGAGTACCAAATTCTCCCAGATGAGGGCGAAATGTGTATGGTTCGACCATTCCTTCAGACTAAGGCTACGAGGGAGCAACAGTGGCTTCACCACAATATATTCCACACTCATAGCACTGTGAAGGGAAAGGTATTCAACATCATCAACGTGGAGCTAGCAGCAAGAATATAGTGTCAACACTAATGGTGGATAAGTTAAGCATCACCACTGAGAGACATCCTCGACCATATTCCCTAATGTGATTCAAGAAGGAGAACAGAATCAATATTGACAGAAAGTGTCTCATAAAACTTTCGATTGGGAATGGACTACAAGATTAGTTTTGATGTGTGGTGCCCATGGATGTATGACACCTTTTGTTAGGGAGACTATGGATGTTTGATCGTCGAACTCAACATGACGGGTTAAGGAATACCTACACTTTTAGTAAGGATGGCAAATACGTAGTCCTTCAACCTTCTACAAAGTCCGAGATTACAGGTGACCTTGCCAGTAGAGACGTGCAAGTAGGGTCAGTTTTAGTGATGATAAAGGATAACGGGACAGAGGCACTGATTCTAGACATGGGGCAAAAAACATGTCAGAACATCATGATCGATACCTTGTCACCACGACCAAAATTATTAGAGAGAGTTCAATCCATTCTCATGTCAAGTAGGAATGAGCCAACCTCGTACTACTTTTGGAAGACTCTACAGACACAACGTACGGTTTGTATGTTCCAGTTTAGGTCAGTTCAATAGTGTATCCTCATATGGTTGGACAAATATAGATGGTTGCTCGCAATTGAGAAAAACTCAAGTGTACGGTTGTCAAAAAAACTCGTTGTTTGTGAACATCTCATGTTCGGCTTATTAAGTAGCTCGTGTTCGGTTCATTCATTAAGTAAATGAGCCAAACACGAACAAATTTTTTAAGCTTGAATTATAAAAAAACCGAACATGAACAATCATTTGTTCGCTCGTGTTCGGCTTGTTTTAACTCAAAATAAAGAAATTATATATATTATTTATATAATAATATATTATATATTTTTATATCTAAGATTAAATCATAACAGCTCGTGTAGTCATATGGCATGTGTCTTCTATTGCACCGAATTGGTGCATGTTCAAATCTAACTCCCTACATCTATTTTTTTCAATTAATTTTAACGAGTCAATTTCGAGTCGAACCGAATAAGAATTTTTAAATTGGTCGAACACGAACACATTGTTTATGAGTCAATTTCAAACACAAGCCAATTTCAAACATGATCAATTTAGAACAAGCCGAACACGAGCCAAGTGT